GTAATTATTAAAGGTTAATTATAAACATTCTTCCTGTAATAATAAATAGCTCCCCCCCCCCCCAGTGGCACAGCGGAATGTCTGCGGACTTACAACGCTAGAATCCGGGTTTCGATACCCGTGGAGGTCAGAGAATAGATAGCCCGTTGTGTAACTTTGTGCTTAACTACAAACAAACAAATAAGTAATACTAAAATATTTAGAAATTATCTCAAGAAACTAGAAAAACTAAGGTTTGAAACTATTGTAATAAAAATAAGCAATGCAAAAGTTTCTAGATTTCTTGTCTTACGGACTCGTCCAAAGTTTCATTTCTTCCTGTGACGAGTGCAGTGTTAACTCCAGAATGTTTGACTTCTGAGTGTGTCTATGAGAGGGTGGATTGTTGGGCGAACATTTGTGTAAGATTTTCTATACTTTTTGATAGAGATACTGTGGAGGTTATACTTAATCATTTCGAAGAAAATCCAGTCATTGTTTTAAAAAACGTTATAATTTTTACTTATAGTGTTACTTTTGCGAAATATTCAGGCCTTATTTTACACAACGAGGAACTTTTGTAACTGTGATGATTTAGTAAAATAAAACACACTGAGGATTTTAATTAGCAGGTGTTTTTTTTGTCTGGAAGATGGACAATTCAGTTGTTCGTACATATGTTAAATTCATTGTTGTTATTGCTATTTTCGCCTGCACCTTTATTTAGCGTGTTGATATGAGTTTCCAGTCGTGGTAATATACAACTCTAACCCAATTTATGTACGTAGTCCAACACAACTTCTGGGTTGCCAGGGTAGTAGCACATGGGGTCATGTAGGTAATTGTAAAAACAGATGTTTGTGACAGATTGAAAATGAGATAAGGGCATTTCGAAAAAATAAATCGACACCAGCGCCGATTATACTAACTCTTTAACCACGACTATTTATAAACTACTCATTCATTTTATGTTTATTTATACCTCTCTATCCGTTTGTGTGTATTTCTATAACTTCTGTTTACCTATCTGCGCGTAAATAATTATCTCTACCAATCTACATATATGTTTCTCTACCTGTCTACATATATGTTTCTTTAACAATCTACGTATATGTTTCTCTACCAACCTATGTATATGTTTCTCTATCAAGCTACGTAGATGTTTCTTTACCAATATACGTATATGTTTCTCTACCAACCTACGTATATGTTTCTCTATCAAGCTACGTAGATGTTTCTTTAACAATCTACGTATATGTTTCTCTATCAAGCTACGTAGATGTTTCTTTAACAATCTACGTATATGTTTCTCAAACAATCTACGTATGTGTTTCTCTACCAATATACGTATATGTTTCTCTACCAATATACGTATGTGTTTCTCAAACAATCTACGTATGTCTTTCTCTACCAAGCTACGTAGATGTTTCTTTACCAATCTACGTATATGTTTCTCAAACAATCTACGTATGTGTTTCTCTATCAACCTAGGTATATGCTTGTCTACAAATCTGTTTTTATGTTTCTCTACTTATCTATGGGTGTCTGTCTATTAGTCTGTTTTATACATCTCTACCTATGCCTATCTACCAATCTGTGTTTCTGTATCTCTAACTATCTATGAACATGTTTGACAATCTGTCTAAATGTCTTCCTCCCTCTCAAAGAGTACGTGTCTGTCTACCATTTGTAACTATCTTTGAGTATCTTTAACAATCTGTTTAATGTCTCCCTCCCTCTCAAACAGTACATGTCTGTTTACCATTCTGAGTGTATATTTGTCTACCAATCTATTTTTTGTCTCTCTACCATCTATTTGTCTCACAACCATCCAAGAAATTGAAACAAAGCACTGCACCCATACTACCGACACTCGTGAAACAAGCTCTTGCTATTTACTTAATCATATAATGCATGTAAAATATAATTAGTTTCAGGGGTGCTTCGAGGATGTTTTATTTGGGGGAATAAGGAAGCAAAAAGTAATTGTGGGGAGACAGGAAAGAAATAGCACTTTCATTTCAGTGGGAATTACAATGTAGAGATTTAAAAGTCTTAAAAGATTAGATCTCTGATGGGGTGCAGCTAGGGGCAGAGCTCTCCAATGGGGTCTGCTGCCACCCCCCCCCCCCCTCCAAGTCACTTCGGTGGAAACGCCCCGATTAGTTTATCTTAATCATCTAAAGACCTAGAAACGAACAAAGAAAATGAAAAATGAAAACTATTTCTATTTTAACATAAACATGGTACTATAAATTTCTAAAACTAAATGTTATAATTAATTATAAATGAACAGCTGGAAACAAGTTGTTACTCAGCACGTATATTTTCAAGTGTACTTTGTATATCTAGAAATCAATGTAAACATTATCTATCTATCACATTTTAAAATAAGTATTCTATGCATCTCACAAAGCAACCCCTTGTTCTGCATGTTCCATGACATTATAAGAAATAGGGACTTTCGAGAATTTCCGTGATGAATCGTGGAGTTTAATAAATATAATTAAGTCCGCATTTCTTAATTTTTCATAGTGAAATGTAGGTTTAAGTAATACTTTTTAGTAGTTCTCTAGGTTTTAATTAATTTGCTTTAGTCAAGATCTCAGATATTTGTTTTTCTGTGTTATTGACTGGGGGGGGGGGTGTTAGTTAATGTTTTAAAAGTATATGTTAAAATGATACTACAAATAAAATATAAAGGAAACAGTCGACTTGAGGGTATTGGATAGCACACACAAAAAAAAATTAAAATTAATCTTTAGCAGAAAAACACATACGCACCTCCTGGTTCACAGACATTAGAAATAAAATTTAAAACACCATGTTTTGTTGTAACTAAATCCTACAACACACAAAAAACTAAACATTAGATATCGTCATTTTAAACATAATAGAAATAATATATATTAACACTTTTATTTATTTGTTTATTCTTGAGCACAAAGCTGTATAACTGATTGTCTTGTTGTGCTTACTGGAAGAGTCGAACCTCGAATTTTAGCGTTATAAGCTCTTAAGCTTGCCACTGAACCATCGAAGAGAGGGTTGGATATAAAATAAAATACTTTGGTTGAGAAATAAAATATAATAATACCACATGGTATAGTGGTTGGGGGAACCGTAAATTAAGAAAAAAAAACACCATTGCGAGTAAATTTCATAGATTGTATAAATATAATATAAAACTTAAAACGTGACGTTGTGTTTGGCAAATGGCACGAAATACAAAACAAACAAAAAATATAAAATGACATACTATGCTTAACATAAATTACAAATAAAATATAGAAACCCTATGGGGTATTACGTTTGCTGACAACAGAGAAAAAGCGGCATATTGTGATTAAAAACAGTAAGTGTAGAAAATATCATTTAGTTATGTATATGGCGGACAGCACAATGATAAAACACGAGGTATTGGGGTAAATACAATATATGAACACCGTGTTATCCATGGTAGTAGAAATAATATACAAAAGTTGTTTATTTTGTACCTTACAGACAGTAGTTATAAGATATAAACACCATATCAGTTTCTGGGTGGCGGAGAGATATAATTACACGATAATTCTACATTGATATCGAATCTAGTGAAGGATTTGGAGAAGAAAAACTGTTGTCTATTTTCTTGTTTATGTCACACTTGACTACGAGCTTAGTGGTCATTCACAATTTTCGTCCTTTTCACGAGTGTGCAAAACATACGCTTTTCTGTGACCCTCCGCCCACGGTAACTTAGCTCCACTGACCCCATGAGGCTTATATGCTCCATTGCTTCCACACCACCTCTAAAAGCAAAATTTTTTAAAGAGATATTAGTTGTAATAAATAAGGTACTGGAAAACAGAAATAATATTTAAGTCCACAAAATTTGCCAGAGTTGTTGCTGGTTAATACTTTGACAACTTTAGAATAGCTTACAGAAACATCACCCTTGCTGGTTAATACTTTGACAACTTTAGAATAGCTTACAGAAACATCACCCTTGCTGGTTAATACTTTGACAACTTTAGAATAACTTATAGAAACACCACCCTTGCTGGTTAATACTTTGACAACTTTAGAATAACTTACATAAACAACACCCTTGCTGGTTAATACTTTGATAACTTTAGAATAACTTATAGAAACACCACCCTTGCTGGTTAATACTTTGACAACTTTAGAATAGCTTACAGAAACATCACCCTTGCTGGTTAATACTTTGACAACTTTAGAATAGCTTACAGAAACATCACCCTTGCTGGTTAATACTTTGACAACTTTAGAATAACTTATAGAAACACCACCCTTGCTGGTTAATACTTTGACAACTTTAGAATAACTTATAGCAACACCACCCTTGCTGGTTAATACTTTGACAACTTTAGAATAACTTACAGAAACACCACCCTTGCTGGTTAATACTTTGACAACTTTAGAATAACTTATAGAAACACCACCCTTGCTGGTTAATACTTTGACAACTTTAGAATAACTTACAGAAACACCACCCTCCCCAGCGTAAGTTTTTGACGCTTGTGAAAATTGCAAAGTTCTGAACGACTCCTTAAAGTCTAATGTTTATAATAGAATGGTGTGTTTCATATGTATTATTTCTGTAGTAGATAATAATTCGAGTGAAAGAAATGACTACAAAGTAAAACAATGTTTCTATTACATCTCCTTCTCCAGGATGAACGGGTGATTTCCCGTTACATATAGGATGTACAGCAGTGACTACCACACAATATGCACAAACTTTCCGTCTGGGTTAACCAACATCCGCGAGCAACTTGCGCACGTGCATTGTGACGTTATACTTCCCTCGGTACACCACTATTTGTCGGAACCGCTGGGATGACAGTTCAATTTACGTTATGCTGCAAGTCACGTGATTTGTTTCACAGTTTTTTATTTGTTCATATAAGTATGCACACACATATATAAAGAGATGATGACCTTCTAAAACCAACTCATCGAGAAGCTAACGTTCACAGCAGTAGCCGACGAACGCAGTATTATATTTTTTTATTTCACGTACATCCTTCACGAAACGGTAAGTGTACTTAGAAATCTCACTATTAAAATGATGATAACTCAATGCGAGCGAAATATTCGAAAGTGTTGTGTTTTTACGCGCAGTTTTTATTTTGGCTATTAGCCCTGTCTCATTTCTTATCAGATCATTGCTTTTAATGATTGCTCATCTATATTACCCAATTTTGAGACAACCCACTTACAGTATTTGTTTTTTTTTTAATTTAAAAACGCCGATGCGAATTTTTGAACCTCAACGTCATTTTGATGGTCGCGGAAAATTAGTTGTAATACTGCAAAAGCTGTCAAATGTGGTGCTATGATTTTGTGTTCATAACCTCTTTTATTTGCTAACCTGTTCCTTAAATTTGACATGAACCTTGTTGCCCTCCAGTGGCACAGCGGTATGTCTGCGGATTTACAATCTGGGTTTCGATACCCGTGGTAGGCAAAGCACAGATAGCCCAATGTGTAGCTTTGTGCTTAATTACAAACAACGTACCTTGTTATAGACCACGTACTGAACGTGGCTTACTTAGGCCTGCATGGGTTAATGATTTCGGGAATGACCTGAGGGAATTTTGGCGATGTCTATGAATATTCGTATTCTGTTTAGAATTAATTAAAAACCGAATAATCCCTTTTATCTAAAAGGTACCCCCTCCCACAGTGGCACAGTGGGATGTCTGCGGACTTACTACGCTAGAAACCTGGTTTCGATACCCGTGGTGGTCAGAGCACAGACAGCCCATTGTGTAGCTTTGTGCTTAACTTCAAACAAACAAATCTAAAAGGTAGAAGGTTTAAAAGGTAAGCGACAGGGTGGCTATGAAAGGGTGCTCCGTTCGTTTAATACTTGATATGTGGTTAGTAAGATTGTTTGTTTTTGAATTTCGTGCAAAGCTACATGTTCAAGCCGTCCCTAACTTAGCAGTGTAAGACTAGAGGGAAGGCAGCTCATCACCATCCCCGAGCGCCAACTCTTGGGCTACTCTTTTACCAACGAATAGTGGGATTGACCGTAACATTATAACGATTCCACGGCTAAAAGGGGCGAGCATGTTTGTGACGGGGATTCGAACCCGCAAGTCGAGGCCCTAGCCATACCGGGCCCGGTTAGTAACATATTAATTCAGAAGGATTTTTTTTTTTGTATCGGATTTTTTTTAGTGAAGTCAAGTTTACAGACGGAAATGCGAAATTGTATAACAAGAAAAAGCAATCTCACTTTCTTCTATCTTGAATCCAAATGCAGCTTTAACGTTATGTATAAATTATAATGGCTTTTATTTGTTTACTCGTTAACCATATACATCCGGGAACTTGGGTCATATTAACATTATGACATAACTACCTAACTGTGGAAAAACACCGGTGCGGGCTGGTAACGTCACCATACTTCACTTGTGTCAATACCAGCCTTTAGTTTTTTATATCACTAACGTGGATATTTGCCAGGTAAAAAGCATACTTAACAAAACAAAAATGTCATTCGTGTCTATTCCTAAAATACACTATACAATGCGTTATTGTTGAATTTTCTTTGATATTGTTATGAATAGTGTATAGAGGCCATTGTTGTTGTTGGCTGGTTCATCACATGGAATAGCGAATGATGAATGAAAACGCTAGGATTTCCTTTAGTGATAAAGCTTGTATTTATTGCAAAATTTCAGCTTGCAACGGGCTGTCGTAGAGCTACGGGTAGTAGCTGTTTAGCAGCTTTACATCACAGAGGCCAAAAACTGCAACCTGTTACATGTTTTGAGGAAAGTGGAAATTTTCAGTGTTTTCACATAATGAAATAGTTTATTTTTTTTATTCTCAAACAAAACGCCATTTATTAAGTGTACCTGAAGAAACTTTTAAACATTTGTCGTAATTATTTCAATTATGAGTTTGATATAAAATTACCAAATTAATGCCCTTAAAAAAAAAAAAAAAAAAAAAAGTTTAAGGCAAGAGGGCCGAGAATTGGATTGCTTATCTTCGTAGTAAAACGTGTCTTTGTTTGTTATTATGTAACGGTAGTACCCGATTCTATATTTATTTGTCACCTGGGGAAAGTTTTCGTATACTTCAAAAGACCACGTGTATTTCAATGATGTCTAAAGCTCAACTGTATAAGCCTCATAATTACCATGTAAGGTTGATAAAGACAACGCTGTTTGATATTTAGTAATAATGATTGTTTGTTTGTAATTAAGCACAAAGCTACACAATGGGCTATCTGTGACCTGCCCACCACGGGTATCGAAACCCGGATTATAGCGTTGTAAGTCCGCAGACATACCGCTGTGCCACTGGGAGGCGGGGCAATAATGATAGAGAAGACCGATTTGTATTTAAACATTAAACATGGATTGACGTATTTGATATATAGTGTATTTAGCACATCACGAGGGTTAATTGCTGGTTCAAACAATGATCTCAACCCTCAAATTATTGACTTGTACCGTTCCCTACTTGTGGGGTCCACATATTGCATAATATTGAGCAATTTTATGTTTTACCTATTACAACACTCGGTGTAAAGAAATCACAAAAATGTGTGAAATAATTGAGTTGCGACGTGGAATACTTAGAAAACACCAGGAGTAATTAATTGGGATTAATATGCATTTTTTTTTTTTTCGTGACTCGTTGGCGTCAAGTTCGCTACAGGCATCAAACCTCGAATTCTAGGTGTTAAAGCATACGTTACTGTAGTTTGGAAGATGTAGACCATCACTGTGCCCACTATGGAGATCAAACTCCGAGTTTTAACAAGTCTGAAAGGTAGCAGATGTTATTGTGATGTATCTTAACGCCTGCCCAACTAGTCGTCTCACAAACGACAAAATAAAAACAGAAAATTCTATAGAAGTGGCATGAAAGGGGTTAGATTGCTCGCGTTGAATAGAAGGCAGATAGTCCATTTTGTAGCTTTGCGTTAAAAAAAAAACCAACAAGAAAGGTGAATTGGGTGAAAAAACAAAAAAACAAAAAAAAAAAACAGTTTCATGACAAATTCGTTGTTTTCTTTCTATATATTTCTTCAAACAATTAAATGTACCTTTAATATAAGTAAAAATGCCTAAGTGCTTCAAACATATCAATGGTCGGCTGTTTTGTATCCTCAAAGTGTAAATTGAAACTATTAAAGTAAAAACATGGTTGCGGGCGAGAGTCATGGTTTATTTTCAACTCCATATATCAATTAGGCAAACCAACATGTTTTATTGTGATGCTCACCGAGACGTCTACTATCAATAACCTTGACAACACTTGTACATTATAACTATGCTACTGTTAGATGCTTAATTAGCGGGAAATAAATCAGGAAACCTAACTTCCTCTCCACGGGTAGTAAGCTCTTGGAGGCTGTAACTACGTAAAAGCTATATATTTATTTTTTTTTTTTTTTTTTTTTTTTTATTGAAGGCGTATGTGCACTATCGAAAGTAGAGATGAAGATGAGATGTGATATAGGTGTTAAAAAAAACAACAACAAACAAACAGTAAATGACGAATGAAACTGCATTTTTCATTTTGCCTGGAAAGACGGGGGTTATCTGAATAATCACTTTTTAAGTATAATTTATACATGGTGCATTTGCTGCTAAATATTATACTTCGTGTTTTTTTTTGTTTTTTTTTTTTCAATATGCTCGTTCCAATTTACACATCCAAGTACATCGTTCTATAAAAATTAAATGTTTTTTCATCCAATTTTAATAAACACAACTACGTGCAGGGTAAGCTAACTTTTTTTCTTTTTTTTTCAATTTAGACACAACCGTAGAAGAGATACAGATTAAACAATGAAGAAAGAAGTAATCCAGGCAGTTGTAGTTTTAGTTTTCTGCGCCCTCTTCCGTGGATCATGGGCTCAGTGTTTCTCGCAGAATGACACTGTAAATAACAACAATGACATCGAAAGAGCTGTCAACAGGCTGGTTAACGGCTCTCACCAATTTGGCCTAGATTTGTTTCGCCTGCTCTACGAAGAACACAATCATATCTCTTCTGGATTATTCTTCAGTCCTTTTAGTGTTTGGTCTGCTCTTGCAGTTACTTTGATGGGTGCCAAGGGGCAGACTGAACAAGAGATTAGTAACGTTCTGGGTGTCCGAGAATTAGATAAGATTGTCATTGCTAGGGCTTATAACTATTTACATTATAGAGAACAATCTGGAAGCAACAGTAGCAGCACCTACCGACTAGCTAATAAGCTCTTTTTTCAAATGAATGCTTCTTTACGACAATGTCTTTTGGAATACTTCCCGACATATATTACGCGTGTCGATTTTCGTGCAGACCCGGAAGGCTCTCGCCAGTTTATAAATCAATGGGTTGAGGACCAAACAAACAACAAAATAAAAGACCTTTTGCCTCCATTTAGTGTAAATCCAACAACAAATTTTGTGATTGCCAATGCCGTATATTTCAAAGGAACATGGCTGAAGCAGTTCGATACGAAAAACAATCGTAAGGCTCGTTTTTTGACGGGTCCTGGCCAACAGAAAGTAGTGGATATGATGTTCACAACAGATGTATTTTTATATGGGATCAGCGAGGTCCTTCGGTGTACTGCCGTGGAGCTTCCTTACAGCGGCCAGGAACTAAGTATGGTTATTCTTTTACCACATCAGTCTAACTCTAGTTTGGATAATCTTATACGGTTGATCACTCCTAGTCGGTTACAAGAGTTATCAAATTCTATGTACCCTCACCAAGTCGTGCTTTATTTGCCCAAGTTTCACATAGAAAACGATTTCGATCTTGCGGGGACCTTGCAGCATCTTGGGCTTAGGGACATTTTTAATCCTGTATTTGCTGACCTATCGGGATTCACTGGCTATCGTGACATTACAGTTGATGCCGTAAGACACAAGACCTACGTAGATGTAAACGAGGAAGGCACCGAAGCTGCCGCTGCCACTGGAATCTTAGCGACACGAATATCTAAGCCTGATGGACCTACACTTTTTAAAGCAAATCACCCTTTCTTATTCTTTATTCGAAACAACAGGTTAAACCTCATCGTCTTTATGGGCACTGTCAACAGTCCTCAAAACCAGTAAAGACACAGTAAAAGTGCAGCGTCATAATAGTAGAAACGAAAATTGTAGCTTTTAGTTAAACATGTTTGAAAAATATATTACAAAATACTGATCATGACTTTTGTACAGTTATCTGTACATATATGTGTGTGTGTGTGTGCATTACTCGTGGTGTTACAAATTCGTTTATTTAGTGATGTTGTATTCTTTGTTCTTATTATAATATATACATATATTTCTTTCTGATATGTAAATGCACTCGTATTAGAATTGAAGACCTGTGTTTTTGTGCTGTTTGTGGAATAAAAATAACTTTTATCGGTTTAAAAAACCGATTAGAATAAATAAAATGTTTTATTCACGATAATCAAAATAAAACAATTTTGTGTGTGTGGGATCGTGAACATAACATAAGTACCATAGGATCTCCAAAAACAGTTTTTAAGAAAAGATAAAACGAAATAATCCAAATTAGACAGTTAAACTTGTTCTTTTTATGGGGACTTTCAACTGACCTAAATGTCATCAAAATAAGGAAATCAAATATGTTTTCTTACAGCACTTTATTTGTCAGAAAAACAAAAAATTAAATGCATGAATTATAATGTTGTTTGTCCTTTAAGTACAAACACTGAGATTTATGTAATAGAAAGATAATGTGGTATGTACAACATACCAGGTATTCATTTTTCCTTTATAGCTAAAACAAGTTCGTGTTCATTTCGAACTTTCAAAAATCTTCACACATAGAAAAATGAATTCTGAAATATGGCTGAAATGCTAGTGTCTGGGATACGCATTGTCGGTCTTTCCAAATTGATGTTGCTGAACTTTCTCGTGGAAGGTGACACTGGAAAACCATGTGTGGCCTAACATCATGTAGTTTCTCTAGCGAGATAAACTTTACATATATTTGGCAATATCTGTAGGCTATGTCCTCCCTGTTTTAATGACAGAATGGTCAAGTGCGTGGGTGGAACATGCAATCTGAGAGGTATAAGGCTATTGTGTTTGCTCTATAGTTGTGAACTCCCCCAGTCTCCTTCAAAATTCTTATCGACCATCTTTTTCTCTAGCTATTGAAAGGGTATAGTGCTATTCATTGTTATTGTGTTTATTGTCAATAAAGGCTGTTTGTTTCTAATATTGTGTTCAGTTTTTCATTATCAACTCAAAAAGTCTGAAATTCAAATATAGCCATGCATAACACTTTCTTAAGTTCCTTATTGCAATTACAGTTCTTATACGTAAAGTATTCAGAGTACTTGAGAATATCACTGTAATAATATACTTCTCTGATATGTGAGCACTGTGATAATCTGGTTTCCCATAAATATGGGCCCGTGCCAATTTTTTGGATATTTTTGAGTTCCTATTCGTTATACCGAAGATTCTGTGTGGGAAGGATGAATTGTTGTGTAGTAAAACATGCAAGCATCGCAATCTATATATTTGTAAAATTGAGATTCGTGAATAAGTATACCCCCCGTATAAAACACTTTGAAGTCTGTTTCTGCCTGAATTTCTAAGATTATCAAAATTTCACTTTGAAATGTAAAGTCTTTATTTGCTAATTTTGACTCATCATAATGTTTCGCATGACACATTTTAAATCTCTAAACGTTGGATAAGTGTTCATCATTAACCTACGAAATCATCATCTGAAAATTGACTCTATTTCATCTTCCTACAAACATTATGTTAAGACGTATGTAATTTACAATCGCCCCAGTCACCTATAAGTTTATTTAAACGATGAAAATAAGTCCTACTAAAATAATGAAATAATTGCAAATGAAACAATGTGAAGTTTTAAAATAAAATCTATATTTAAAAACAGCGTTCTGTCTCATATAAGAAAAACAATTATCCGCGGGTGTTAATCGTTTAGTAGAACCACTTAATAATGAAAATAAAAAAAATCTACTATTTGAGAAGGACAGTGTAAAAAAAACAACAACAAAATACAAACCGTATCTGATTCATCACTATGAGAATTAAAATAAATCCATTGATAGCCACTTTTTATAATTTAAAGATTAAAACAATAACAAAATTAAGCTGAAATTTGAAGGTAATATAGAAGTTATCCACGAAGTGATTTTCGGATGAGGGTAGTTAATTTAGTTCACGTGCAAAGAACCGGGGATAGTACCAGATGTACCTGTGGAGGGTCCCTGAAAGTGTTCTGTTTCGAGAGTAAATAAGAGTAAGAAGCTCATATGTTATGCTGTGTTGTAGCCTATAGAGTACATAATTCTTCTCGTGATTTATGGTATACGCACGTTTTACTGACATCATGACAGTACAAATTGCAACGTTAAATGTCCCTTACGTGACGTCATTTTAGTGTATACTGACTGAATGACAGACAACGCTCTACTTGTATAATGGTGGGAGTAGTTAAAACAGGTGACCCCTCCAGGGTACCTTCAGCCCCCTTTCGGGGCAATTAATAATAAGTTGTGAGTGGCTGTATAATAGGTACAATGAAATAGGCAAGTTTGTAACTATGTGTACCTAAGGAGTAAATATTGGGTCGGATAGAGATTCCTCTTTTGTGAATCTTAGGAAAAACCATATAAAATACCAGGGCAAGAGTCTGTCGGATACAACGAAACAGCAACATTTTCAGATATAATATATTTGTTTTTAAGTTCTTTCAAGTATCTTTGGGTTTTTCCCTCTTGATGGATGGTAAGAGATAAAGGGTCGTTTTATAAGATTTTAAATTTAGTAGAGTTGTCAAGAATAACCTGCATTTTATTCAAGTAGTCATTTATGTTAAGGATAACAACGTCATTCTCTTGTCGGGCCCTGTAGCATGAATATTTTTATTTAGTTACAGTCATTTTAAAGCTGAAATTTCATCAGGGCTTAGAGGGTTAGGATGTTTGTTAGTATTAAAATTATAGAATGTAGAAAGAGCAAGGTTTGTACCTTTATAGTGAAATAGTCACGAGATTGATCAAGGTTTCTTTTACAGAACTTAGGAAAATATTTTAGGTTTCTGTATAGCAACTCAAAAGAAAAGTAGCAAAATTCTTTTTACCTGGATGAATAGAGAAATCAAGACCTTTAGTTAGGCCAGATTTACACTAGTTATTAAGTGTGAGATTGCTTAGGTTGACAATCAAATTATCAGGATCAAAATTGGCAGAAAAGTTGTTAGTCAACCTACTCAGCTTCAAATTGTCGACATTTTCAAATCGGGCGATTTTCTGCCGTTATTAGCCGC